TGCTGAACCTGTAATTCTCTAGTAGCTCCTGCAGATACTTTTAGCAGCACCTGTTGTAGTTAACTGCTGTCTTTTGGGAAAGGTTACTGTGTCCATTTAGCTGAAAGTATCTTGGCTGCTGAGCAAGAGCTTTTCCACAAGGTTTTTGGGGCAGCAGCAGCTGTGATGTTACACTGTACACGCTTGACCCCCTCTGTGTGTGTCCAGGCACACTCGTGGAGTTGAACAAGCAGCTGAGCAGCCATTAGACAATGTGCTGGAAATCTCCTTAGTTATCAACCCTGAGTCTCATTTAGCCCCACACCACCAGCCTTGAAGCCTACCTGTTGGCAGGCTCCTTTGCCACCCGCCTCAGGCGAAAATGATCCCTCAGGGACTGCAGTGTCGCCGCAGGGAAACGCGCTGCATTGCTCTCCATGTAATTAAGCACATACTCATCAGCATCAGTGATGATAAACCTGTGGCCAAACACTGGGGAAGAGGCATTGAAGAAAGCAGTGTTACTCGCCTTTCAGCATGGGTAAGTGACTCCATCATCCAGGAGAGAGCAGGTTTTCTCTCCTGTGTCTGAGCCCAGGCTTGAGCCAGCTCTGCTGTTTGTTTCAGTCCTTGAAGTGAGAATAGCTTCACTGACTCAAAGGGAGATTTGCTGCAAGAAAGGCAGCTGCTGAGAGCAAGGGCCCCATACTTGTGCCTACACCTCCCCCCATTACCACGGGTGTGTTTCTAATATTTCAGTATTACATTTATTTTCCTTACAGGGTAGGTTTTCCTCACAGGATAGGTGTTTGCTCCTGGAAGTCACCGGGCATAGCTTTAACCCTGTGAATCCTGGCAGGTCCCAACATGCAAACTGAACACATAGTATGGAGAATGTAGCTTTTTTTTCTAAACTATGTCAAAGGTCCTGAGATTTATAGTAACAGAGTTATACAAATGTACACCAGCTGGTGACCTGGAAATTGGGATGTGAGGAGACACAGAAGGAGCCCTTTCAGTGTATGGAGGGAGGGAAGGGAGATGCACTGGCTGTGCAATAAATGACATATCAGAGCAGCCACTGAAAACCAATGCTTGGAGAGTAGTGGTAATCCAGGCTGGATTTTACCTTCAACTGTAGAACCAATGGTGAAGTCAGAGGGCTCATAGTACGTGGCATTGTCTGTAGTAGAGCCTGGTTTGGCAACTCTGGTCTTTCTCAAGTATTTGCCTCCAATGATGCCAGAGTTCCGGCTCGGGGGTTCATAGATGCTGATCATGTCATCGGAGAGGGAATAAGAGAGGATGAAACGACGTTTCCTATCCTCAGGGTTTGGTGTTTCCTAGAGGAAAGGTAGCAGCTTTGGAAAATAAGTTTTGAACCAGCTTTCTCCCCTGGGGTGCTTAGGAGTACCAAATAAACCACTCATGAGCACCTGGGGTTCATAGGTGTTTTTTATAGCTGCCTACACAAAGCACTTGACAGAGGACAAAAGCTACAAATAGACTGACATAGCCTAACAAAGCCCTAAACAGCATTAATATCTCAATTTCAAAGGTTCCTTGCTCTAGTGAGGCTAACAGAAGCAGAATCTGTGCCATAGTGACTAAGTATATTCAGTGTTTCCACAGGCTGAGTAATCCAAGAGAAAGGAATATCCTATATGTAATGACTCATCACAGAGAGAGAATGGCTATAAAATTCAGTATTAAAGTTATATTTTTCACTATAATGAGTGCCTGAGAGAGTGGTGCAGCTTCCAGCTCTTAGTCACAGGAAGACACTCCCCTGACACACCAGTAGGTTTACTTGCTTAGTTTAAAATTAAGTGGACCTGAACTTGTCAGCTGTGACCTTTAGGAACTCCTGCACAAAAAGAAAAATAAATCAGCCCTTACTCACCAAATGTTTGGAGAGGGCAGGCACCAGGCAGTGCAGGAAATGCCATTGCTACTGCTGGATGTGCCAGAGGCTCCTTGCATAAACCAACTGTAAAGCTGGCACAAAGGCCAGGACCCAAGTGTTCTGGTCATGAGTAGAAAGCACCGTCCCCATGGACTCCCAGGCTTCTCTGTTGGCACTTGGCTGCTCTGCTAGCACAGCTCCTTGCTGGGTGCTGTGGCCAGGACCAGCCTGGAGAAGGACAGGTGCTGGCAGCCAGCAGAGACAGCAAGCTTCTGCTTGTGGCAGTGGCTGAAGGCAGGCAGAGGCACAGTGCCCAGCTGCAATGCTGTTTCAGTTAGGACCATCTGTCACGTGCTGATGTCAGTGGGAGTTTTTCCATAAATGGCTGTGGTTTTGTAGCATGTCTGTCTTGGACTTTCTGGCCTTGTTTTTCTCTACCTTTTGTTACTTGCTACTAATTGTCACAGCAAGTACACAGTAACCCAACGGCATCCCCTGAGGGGCACTTGTGTCAGCTTGGGGAACTCTCTTTTCCCACCATCACAGAGGAGAATTTGCTGACAGCCTTGTCTGCACAGGCTGTTCCTCTCATCCTCCTGACAACACAAGCTGGCATTATACCATCAAGGAAATCACTTACCAGGACCACCTCGTAGCGCAGCACCTTCTGGTCATTCTCTAGCATCTTAATGATATCTTTCCGAGGAGGCTTTGGTATCAGAGAGAAGCAGTTCTGAAGAGAGTCTTCAAGGGTGCCAAAACCATTGTAGGGAGGAACTACCTGCATCCAGAAGAGATACCAAGTAGAAACATCTGAAACTAAGAACAAGACGATGTTTGCCAGAAGCCATCTGTTTGGAAAGAGACCTGCTCCATCACCAGGTAGCAATATCTGTAACGCCTTGCCCAGTGGAGATTCTACTAGCCTGGCCATGTATTGGACCCCTTACTTACAGCAATATTTATGAGAATGAAGAAAATCTGACATTCCAAAAGCCAAGTAATTTATCTGAACAAAGAGACTATGGCTATATTAGTAACTAAACCTTCCTGTGCACAGGAACTCAAACATCTGTATGGTTACACTGTTAACCCATCTCCCCTCATGTTTGTGGTCTAAGCCAGCCTCAAACTATTCCTGGCCTCAGTCTGGGAGGTAACAAGGCCTGTGACTGTCTCCAGTAGGCAGTTTGGACTTAGCTACCCTGTTGTAAAGGGTGAGGGAGAGTTTAGCAGTATGAGTGCAGCCAGACTGTGCCAGTTGGCTTCCCAAACCTGCCACTGTTTAATTTTCCAGTGTAGATGAAACCAGAGTTCTATCACTGTTACCAAGTGCTTTGTACTTTACAGTATTAGAAACAAACAGTTTTAGAGGACTTTCATTTTTATATCAATTATGACCATTCTTTCCTTGTCTTTTCTTAGTGACTTGCTCTTTTCTTTAAGCTTATTTCACAGAATCACAGAATTGTTCTGGTTGGAAAAGACCTCTAAGCTCATCGAGTCCAATCATAACCTAACTATCAACCATTAACCTAACTCCACCAAGTCCAGTGCTTAAACAATGCATCTAACATCTACACATCTCTTAAACACCTCCAGGGATGGTGATTCAACCACTTCCCTGGGAACGTATTTACTGTAAGTTCTTACTAAACTGAACATATACTTTGCTATAAGAGCTTATACTGAGTGCTGCTTAATGTCCCTTCCTTTGAAAAAATGTTTGCTGTACCAGTGGAACTTCCTCAGGTTGTTTCTTCTTTATTTCCACTGGCTGGAAGTCTGTAATGCCAAATTTGTCACGATAGAAGTTTCGTGTGAACTCATCGCAATCGTAGATGAAGAAGGTGCGTCCAAGGAGGGTGGTAGATTTGCCAACAGCAAAATCTTTAGCTGTGAACCACTCAAGTACCTCCTGATCAGTGGTCTCCATCACACAGCTTGGGAAGGTATCTAAAGATGAGAAAGCAAAAGGGAAAAGAAATCAGACAGGTAGATGTTAACATTTCCTGGTGAAAAGGGATACAAAAGCAAGCTCTATAAATAGTACAAGCTCTATAAATAGTATAAATAGTATCCATGGTTCTGCTTTCCTGCCACTGTTTTCCAAAAGATAAAGAATTTAGTGATCATTTAAAGAACTGTTCTTTGGCCAAAAACCAATGACACTTGGAGTGTTCTCAGCAAAAACACTCCAGACTTGGTGTACCTCGGACACAGCCACCAAGCGTGTGTCTACCCACCAAGGCACTTCAGCACGGGCAGATGAGCTGGCCAGTCTAAACTTACTTTTGTTGTCCACCAAGGTTTTGGGCAAGCGTTGGCGTCTGATCAGGACTGGGAATGGGTCTCTACCATCGTTTTTCTTGTGGACTTCCCGAACCTCCACTGTGTCATCTGCCAAGTAGTAATAAATGATGAAAGGCCGATTCTCACCAAACATGTTGTTAGTGTCATCCCACATTGCATAGAAGCAAAGGACCTAGGGTGAAGAAATAAAAGCCAGATAAAACAACCGTAGAAAATAATTACTAATGCTTTTGTCTATATGAGAACCTCCTGAAAAAAAGGTGTAACGAAGTGGGTATTGGTCTCCCCTCTCAAGTTAGAAGCAATAGGATAAGAGGAAATGGCCTCAAGTTGTGCCAAGGGAGGTTTAGATTGGATATTAGGAAAAATATAATCACGGAAGAGGTTGTCAGGTGCTGGCACAGGCTGCCCAGGGCAGTGGTGGAGTCCCCATCCTTGGAGGGATTTCAAAGGCATGTAGTTGTGGTGCTGAGGGAAATGGTTTAGTGGTGGCCTTGGCAGTGCTAGAGTAACAGTTGGACTTGGTGATCTAAAAGGTCTTTCGAACCAAAATGATTCTATGATTCTATGACTGGAAGCATCTCATCGATCTTCTCTGCCATCCTGTGATTCTATGAAAATGGCAACTGGATATGATTCTGGACTGTGCAAACACTTAGGTGATGGCCAGGAACTGGTTGGTTGGTAGCTGGAAAGGGACAATATGCAGAAATCAGGTAGTCCTGGACCTGTTTTATTTTCTAGTATATATGTAGTCTAAAGGGTTTCTTATATTGTTGCTAGGTGAAAAGAAGATGATCCAGAAGAGCAGGGAGGAGAATGTTAGAGAGCTGTGTGCACAGGGAGAGCTCAGAGCAAGCGGCATTTGTGTTTGGTTGAAATTGTCCACTCTGGAATAAAAACTAGAGTCTGTTTAGTGGACTGAGATTTTTTAGAATGAGTACGGGTGTAGACACACACAAAACACAGATTTCAATAACACATATAGTCTGTAATGTGGGTAAACACTACCAGCTCTCTCACCTGCTTGTCATAGATCAGAAACTGTTTGAATTGGTCGAAATCTGACGGAGTGATGAACTTGCGCATCCGTGTCCGATGCAGTTCTGTGTAAGGATCAAGAGGAATTTTCTCTGGAGGGTTCAGTTCAATTCCTTGGCTCTCCAGGAACCCCTATGAAGGTCATCTGAGATATTAATGCTGCCGTGAGTTCTGAAGGTAAGAGGTAACTAGACATAACAGGTGGGCTGAGATGAGTATTGACAGAACATGGCAAGTTCATTCCTCACAAATCACCAGGCTGCAGGAGTATTATTAGTTCTATTGCCATAGCAAATACAATAGAAGATAACCAAGATATTTCTGTTTAAGCTTCGATTGCCCTTTAATTACTCAGGGCAGTCCTGTCCTAACTCAGATTTTTATTAAGCACAGTTTTCCTTGGCCTTAGGGCTTTAAATGAAGCCAACTGTCAGTTGATCTCTTTTATGTAAATGAAAAAGATTAAATTGGTGCATAACTCTGGATGTAGTCAGGCTGAATTTGCAAGAGACTTAGGGCTCCCCAGTGTGCCAGACAGCTCATACCAGGCCCACCAAGGCCCTTTAGGCCACCAGGATATGTGCCAGAGTGGCTTCAGTCCATCTTGCAGCAGGAGTTACTTTTCCCACAGAAAGAGGACAATCTATTTGTTTAGAGAGGGATTATTTGCTTACCCCAGATGCATCAACAAACTCTAGGGCATTACTCGTGTACTCACATCAGAACAACCTCTGAAGTCAATAGACTTCTTCCCTTGGGCATGAGAGCATTCTGCCCAGGAAGGACCTATGCAAATGTTTCCATTAGGCATGTGAAACCACCCTGAAGACTCACAAGGCAGGTTGACACTGCCAGACTCACTATTTTCTGGTCTGGAGGATGGCAGTTAATGATAAATAGACTAGTAGCCTTGAGATGTAGACCCAGGTAGCTCATTTCATGTTTTCTATCAACCAACCAACATTAACATGAGAACCAGCTCTTTATTTGATGTTAATTGACTTTAACAGTTATCCAATGCCAGCAGAGCTGGCCCCACATGTTCTCAACAGCCACATATATACCAAGATATTATACATGCTTGGGAACATTCCTGGGACTTGACAACTCCTGAACTGTTCCTGGGAATTGCTTGGAAGCAATTTGACCTGGTATTTGACCAGGGATGAGATTATACCAGGGACAACCTAACAAGACACCATTATACTGGTATTTGTTATTATTTGTTATTGAGTTGTTATTATTTCTTTTACTGGTACAGAAAGAGTCAGAAATAGAACAGCAGACCATGAGTAAGCCTTCTTAGAAGGTCAGTTCATACCACAATGCTCAACCCACAGATTATGACCACTCCTCTGGCTTGGTTGTAGATGGGTACATTTACTGACTGCATTCCTTTACCCTGTTCTTAACAGAGGTGTATGAAGTCAGAAAAGTGTTAAGATCAATAATTTCCTCTTCATACATGCACAATGTTTCATTTGTTTATCTGTTAAACTGTTGTACACTAGAAATGAGCTTAGTCCAATTTTTTTCACTCAGAAATAAGCTTAGAATTTGTACTGTAAGGAGCATTTCTGAGGACAACAGGTGGACTCCCACCAGCCCTGGGGCAAAAATATTGAGCACCTAACATGCGCCCAGCAAATGTACCTTGAACTTCCCATCAATCTGGAGAAAAAATTCTCCACAAAAGAGCAAAATGAAAGATTGCAGGCAACCTTATTGTGAAAGCTACAGATTTGGACTACCAGACTCTAACAGGACTGGCCACCTGTAACTTCTGCGATTCTCTGTGTCTGTGTTCTTGGTACAAGCAACACACCTGTGTGAATGGGTCACAGTCGACTATGCGGTAGGTCCTGCCATACATGGTGATGTTCATGCCCCGATTCAGATCTTTCCAGTGGTAAGGCTCCCCTTGGTCATTCTTAGGCACCCGGTGGCGTCTGAGGAGTCTGCCTTGAAGAAACCCAGCTTTCTTCACAACAGGTTCTATGATGGTCAAGCTGTCATCCTCCAAAAAGTAATAGATAGCCACTTGGCGGATCCGGTACTGCTCTTCTGTAGAGTTATAAACATCTTCCTGGAAATAGGCATCAAACTTCAAAATCTGTCAAAAGGGGCAATATCCCAAAAGGAGAAAGAAACAATTTGAAAACCACAATTAGTCTATTAAGATAAATAATGTATTTGTAATGTTTTTTGGCAGTACAAAATTACTGGACTGTAATCTATAAAATCATCAAAGCCAACTCCCACCAGACCAGGTTGCTCCAAGCCCCATCCAATCTGCCCTTGAACACTGCCAGGGATGGGGCAGCCAGAGGTCCTCTGGGCAACCTGGGCCAGTGTCTCACTCCCCTCACAGGAAAGAATTTCTTCCTAATGTCTAACCTGAATCTCCCCTCTTTCAGCATATAACTGTTTTCCCTTAGCCCATCACTCAATGTCCTTGTAAAAAGTCCCTCCCCAGCTTTCTTGTAGCCCCTTCGGGTACTGGAAGGTGCTGGCAAGTCTCCTTAGGACCTTCCCTTCTTCAGGCTGAACAATCCCAACTCTCAGCTTGTCTTCATAGGAGAGGTGCTCCAGCTCTCTGATAATCATTGTGGTCTTCTTCTGGACTTGCTCCACCAGCTCCATGTCCTTCTTATGTTGGGGACCCCAGAATGAGGATTTTTATCAAGATCTGCCTTTTACAAATTTGGTACCCATGAGACAGGTGTAAAAAATACAGCTTCCCACTCCACCTTGATAAATTGCTGTTTCACTGCCTGCAAGTGTTTGGTTACTGCCAGTAATCTAGTTTTCTGATATACGTGACATTCTTTACTATTGTCAACTTTGCAGACTAATCAGGCTCTGCATACTCAGCCTAAATCAACACAGAGGCCTGGGTAATTAAGTGATGATAAAGCCAGTAAGTTCCTACCAGCCACCAAAAGTGCTTTAAAAGGGACCATAAGTTCCCCAGCAGCACTGGGGCTTCTGCTGCTACTCTGGCTTGAACCAAGGGGCAGAGAAGTATCTGACAGATTAAACAGCAACACCTACGTTACTCTGAAGCAATAGAATAATGGAATTATAGAACAGTGTAGGTTGGAATGGACCTTTCAATGTCACCTAGTCCCCTAGTCCAACCCCCTGCAGTGAGCAGGGACATCTTCAACTAGATCAGGTTGCTCAGAGCCCCATTCAACCTGACCTTGAATGCTTCCAGGGATGGGCCAGCTCCCACCTCTCTAAGCAATCTCTTTCAGTGTTTCACAGTAATTAACACAGCACATGTGTTGCCCAGACTGTCTGTCAGGTGGGCTGAGGGTTGGCTGCAGCCTGCCTCCCTAGACCTGCCTGACAGCACCCAAACCCCTGCACGAGCTCGGGTCTTGCTGAGCTTTGCACACTCAGCAGTGACCACGCTGTCTGTGGCTGTGGCTTCCCCTGCCAGCTTGCAGTTTGTGCCACTGGCATGTTGAAAACCAAAGGTCAGATCAGGACTGCTCCAAGCAGACACAGAGCCACCTCCTCGTCCCATACAGTCACCAAGATGTAATGCAGGAAGAATTAATGGAGCAGTACAGGCTGTAACACGCCGTGGTGACAAACACAAGCATAACTGTACAGACCACACTTAAATCAGCCTAACAGAATCCCTGTTGCAGTCTGCCTTTTATAGCTTAAGCTCAGTTACAGTCTCACTATAGTTTTGGAAACACAGGCAGCCAGGCTGTGGTTTACAGAGCAATGAGGCTTTTCAGAGTTAATCAAACTCCTTTTCCAGTGCCTTCTGGAAATGCTGTAGCGTAACTTGTGGGGAATGTCTTACATCGTTTACGTATTCTGATCCTCCACCCCGAGCAAAGAAAGCCTCTTTCACTCTGGGGTTCAGCTGTCTCTGACTAAGGGCTATGGCATCTGAAAACTGCCGTACACTGTCCCATGAACCCTGGAGCTGACTGTTTATGTCTCCAATCTTGGCCAGCGATATTGCTGGAATAAGCTGCTTTATACCTTTTTGTCAAAAGCCACGTGTGCTGGAATGAAGTCCGAACGTGGAGCCTGCTTGGGTGGCCCATAGGTCAGCAGGGGTCTCTGGTCGGCTAATTCATCTAACTCAGCCTGAGAAAGCTGGTTCACATAGAGCCTCTCCCCGCCGATCCCCACCGTTGGCAGCCGAAAAAAGGCAAATCCATTTTTGTAGCCCAGTGTCTGGGACCGGTGGAAAGATGTTTTCTGTGGAAGGAAATCCAGCTGTTAAAGTACTATGGCTACTGAAAGCACAGCAAAACAGTAAAAGAATTTAATCTCCAGAATGCTCCCCCACCCCCAGCCAGCATTTTATTATAACCTCCTGCAGCAGTTATTTACAATCAGATTCTACACTTACAGTAAGTGCCTGGAGGAACGAAGCATCAGAGTGAACTCAAATTCTAGCTCTGGCACAGACTCCCCAGGAGCTGCAATCACTTATTTTCCCTATTACCACAATTCTCAGTGCCTAGAATGGGGTGACAGCACTGTCTCTGCCCTAGTATTTATCTCATAAACTCTTGGTTCCCTACTCTGTGTTCTGGCAGTACCTCACCATGGGACCTCACTCATTACCTTACAGTGCTCCCTTGACTATTACACCTTGTGCACCCTCTGTGTTTTCCATTGCTATTTATTTTGTTAACCCTCTCCTGGGGATGTTGTTCATAGGATTTTCTTCACTGGGCTAAATCAAGGTGTGTCAATTCCACAGAACTGCAATTATGAAACATGTCGAAGCAGATCAGCTGTTTCACCACCTCTCTCCACAGCCCATACAAGGGTCACACACTAAATAACCACAACCACAGTGTAAGACCTTATAGCAGATTCATGAGAAGCCTGGTAAGATGAGAAGAATTCTATTCATGTGAGCACTGTATAATGCTGGCTATAGGATTCACCTGCTACTTCTTCTTTTGTTCCCTTAATCGTGGTTTTGAGCTTCTTGAAGCCTTTCACCTGTCTTTGCTATCTCCTTGACACCAGCTACTGAGGCAGTTTTAAAGCAAAATAATTATTCAGATGGCACAGGAAGGTCCCCACTTTGCTAAAGAACACACAACAAGAAAACGTGCAGGACCAGATCTCTGTCAGTCTAGTCCCATTCTTCACTACTGAAGACCAGGAGCATCACCAGGCTACTTGACTTGCTTTACAGTCCACCATGCCTGGCACCTCACCTGCAATCCTAACAGCATTCAAAGTCATACGTGCCTGGCTGGTCCCACGGGGCTTTCAAAACTTCATGCTCAGAGAAAGCAAGAGAGTTTGTGAGCTCTCGGTAATAAAATCCCTGACTTCACCTTGATTTTTGCTAAATAAAACAGAGCTGTGTGCAACTGAAGGAACAAGCTTCAGCTCCTTTTCCAGACCCAGACCTGCAGTCAGTCCAACCTCAGGCACGTGAACCACTTCTTCTCCACCCTCACCCTTCATGGTTAAGCCCCTAATCTTATTTATACCTTCAAGGCCCCACAAGAATGTCACATAATTGCCTGTTTTACCTTTAAACCAGTACTATGGATCTTCTAATGCTGTGGACAGAGCAGTTAGAAAAGCAGGTTCACATGAAAACAAGAGAGCTTACTGAAGGCATGTTAACAGAGTATCTTTTCAACATTAGGCTGCCACAGAACTGCCATTTCCTTCTGGGAAATAAATACCAAGAGAAAGCTGTGGGGAAAATATTCAAGGAAAATGAAGAAGTTTGTCTTTCACTTGTGCAATATCAGCATCTTTCAGAAGTCCACAGGCTTTTAAGGGCCCACAGCTGCCTAAAGAAAATACCCCATAAATTCCTATGCCTCCCAAAGTCAATAGGTTCTGCCAGGAGAGCATGGGTGCCAGGTAACATCTCACAGTACCAGGTGACTAATGTAAATTTAAAAAGGGAAAGCCCAGAAAGTAAACTCCTAATCTCAGTTGCTGCCTGTCCATATCTGAAGAAAATCCACTGAATTAAGTCCTGCTTTTTCCAAGTCTCTAATGCTCCACACAGATGCTGTTCCCCCTCCCAGTCTCTGTCACATGAGCACTAAGCAATAACAACATCCTCTTTTTTGAACACAGAGGTTTTCTTTAGCACTTCTCAGCAATCACTTGGAGAATAAGTATCATGGTGCCCATTTTATAGACTGGAAAAATGAGGCCAAGTGAGTTGACAGCACTGACTAGGGCTCATTCTGAGCAACACTGTAAAGCCACTTCTGGAGTCTGGGTATCTTTAAAACATTACTAATACTTACTCTAAAATCATGATCTGCTCTGTTAAATTCTGTAGGTTGTTTCTTACATGGCTCTGCTGAAGTCAGTAGAAGCATTTCCATGACTAAAGCAGGCAGGATTTTACTGATAGAGGGTATAATATTTTGCTTAGGGTGCATTGCAGATTTCCAAGGAATTCTAAATTATATCAAGGAAATAATATTAAGATGATGATAATTTTGAAGTAACCTTTATGACTGCATGATTAAGAGTGTTTGTTATGAGGAAATGACTCCACTCATTGTTGAGCCACTCAGTCATCCCTGACTTAGAAAGCAGGTTGGCTATTCATGCTGGAAGGCACCACTAAGACTGGTACAATGACAATTTATCCTTGAGTAACCCTAATCCACACACAAGCAGAATAAAGAAAACAGAAGGTCCTGTTTAGGAAAACAGAGAAAACTGGGCTCCCACAAAAGCATCCAGAATGATCTGGACTGGGTTTACCAAAACCCATCATGACACAATCCTTGGTCAAGAGCACGTCATGTCAAGAGCACATCTGTCAAACAAGTATTAGTGACAATACCATCACTGGTCTAAGAAAAATAGGACGCTATCTTCCTAAGGGAGCACTAGATCCCTTCAGTGTTGTTAAGATCCCTTAGAGGTTCTTCCCCGCTCAATTTGAGGAGCAAACCTAAGTTATAGGAATTTCTACTTAAAGGTTACCTAGGAGTAGTCTGCTCTAGAAATATCAGGAGCATTGTGGGGGCAGAAGATAGAAGGTAAGGTTTCCTCTTTTGGGACAATAAGCATTTCCATTGGAACATCCAATAAGCATGAGGTCTGTGTCCCAGGAAGTTAAGAGGCTGTATGAGTGATATGGGAAGAGTGGGATGACTTGCAGGCAGGTTCACCATTGCTTGAGATTTGCCATAGGGTAGATAGGAATGGTGAGACATTCTCTCTTCTATACAGCACAAGTTAGGGGATGTATCAGGAAGACATGGAAGTGCTTGTTCTGGAGGTGTCAGTTTTTAATGGGAATGTCAAGGACAAGGACTTTTGACCTATGATAATGTGCATTGGTTGACAGTAGCTGAGCACGAGCCAGTGTGTGCCCAGGTGGCCAAGGCCAACAGCATCCCGGCTTGTCTCAGAACTAGTGTGGCCATCAGGACCAGGGCAGGGAATGTCAGTCTCTTTTCCCAAGGAGCAAGTGATAGGACAAGAGGAAATGGCCTCAAGTTGTGCCAGGGGAGGCTTAGATTGCATATTAGGAAAAATTTATTCACCAAATGGGTTGTCAGGCCCTGGAACAGGCTGCCCAGGGAAGCAGTAAAGTCATAATCCCTGGAAGTACTTAAAAGCTGTGTAGATGTAGTGCTTAAGGACATGGTTTACTGGTGGACTTGGCAGTGCTGGGTTAACAGTTGGACTTGATGATCTTAAAGGTCTTTTCCAACTAAAACCATTCTATGATTTGACCAGGCAACTTGGATGTACTGAGAGAAAGCAGCAGAAAGAAGAGACCTCACTTGGAATACTGAGCCTTAAGGAAATAAAGGAGCCTGTTCGAAAAGATATTAAGCTCCAGGGAAATGTAAGGCATGCCCTGATGTATCTGTTGTCTACAAAAGTCTGGGAGAATCGGTCCTGAGGGAAGTAGTTAGGGCACTGGTTTCTCAAATGGGCACTAGTAGCATTGAGTTAAGGTTGAGCAGCAGTATCAAGACTCAAGATATTAGTTTCCCAGGAAGGAGGAAGGGCAGATCTTTCAGCTGCTCTGAAACACTATTGGAAGGAGTTCAGGGAGTATCCATTCTCATCTGTGGTACTGCTTCTTTAAGATGATATTGGAAGGATTTGATGTTATCAGATCCTCAGTGTGTGGGCCACTGGGACTAGGGAAAAGGAGAGGTTGCTTCCTCATTTAAGTATCAGTTCAAGTGCAGAGAATGAGGATGACACTACTTCTTCCAAAGAGCAGCTGAGGGGGTTTCACTTCCTTGGCAAGATCATGAAGCCTGTGGTGGTATCACTTCTGTGGAGGGATACCAGTTCTCTGAAGACTATCAGGTTCTCAGGTTCCATTAGTTCCCTATGGACTATCAAGGATTCACTTCTCCAGGCAATCCCAAGAGAGCATTTGTGGGAATACTGGAGCTTTGGAGGTGGACATATCAAGGAAGTATTGGTTGCCCAGGAGATTGGTTCTTCTGGGTATATCAAGTCAGTTGAGAGGATATCAGGTGTGCTTAAGGGTCCTGGTTCAGGGCAGTATCAGAACGAGTAGCAGGTTCAGAACACATCCCCTTGGGAAAACTGAGATGGTTCAGAGAAACAGGAGTTTCCCTGGGGGAATCAGGTTTCAAGACTATAAAGTGAATATGGGGATACTCCTTCCCCTGGGGTACCACATGAACTGGTGGAGGCATTATTGTATGGATTCAGGAGTGCTGGATCTCCATGGGGTGAGTTGGCAGGTAGTAGTTCTGCAATTAGAGAGAAAACTTTTGGGGTCTCAAATGAGGCTGGGGGAACCTACCTCTCCAAAGCTGTCAGGACAATATCAGGGCATATCAGATGTTTGCAAGATGCAATGGTTTCCCTGCAGACAAAATTAAGAGTACCAAGTTCCCTGGAGGGTGGGCTCAGGGATACCTGGTCCCCTGGGAACAGACTTAAAAATACATTGGGAGAACTTGGGTAGTACCAGGTCTTCTGTGGCTGGAGTCAGGGGACACCAGGCATGTTCAGAAAGTTCAGGTTGCCTAGGAGTGAGTTCAGCTAGAAGGTAAGGTTTCCTCTTTTGGGACAATAAGCATTTCCATTGGAACATCCAATAAGCATGAGGTCTGTGTCCCAGGAAGTTAAGAGGCTGTATGAGTGATATGGGAAGAGTGGGATGACTTGCAGGCAGGTTCACCATTGCTTGAGATTTGCCATAGGGTAGATAGGAATGGTGAGACATTCTCTCTTCTATACAGCACAAGTTAGGGGATGTATCAGGAAGACATGGAAGTGCTTGTTCTGGAGGTGTCAGTTTTTAATGGGAATGTCAAGGACAAGGACTTTTGACCTATGATAATGTGCATTGGTTGACAGTAGCTGAGCACGAGCCAGTGTGTGCCCAGGTGGCCAAGGCCAACAGCATCCCGGCTTGTCTCAGAACTAGTGTGGCCATCAGGACCAGGGCAGGGAATGTCAGTCTCTTTTCCCAAGGAGCAAGTGATAGGACAAGAGGAAATGGCCTCAAGTTGTGCCAGGGGAGGCTTAGATTGCATATTAGGAAAAATTTATTCACCAAATGGGTTGTCAGGCCCTGGAACAGGCTGCCCAGGGAAGCAGTAAAGTCATAATCCCTGGAAGTACTTAAAAGCTGTGTAGATGTAGTGCTTAAGGACATGGTTTACTGGTGGACTTGGCAGTGCTGGGTTAACAGTTGGACTTGATGATCTTAAAGGTCTTTTCCAACTAAAACCATTCTATGATTTGACCAGGCAACTTGGATGTACTGAGAGAAAGCAGCAGAAAGAAGAGACCTCACTTGGAATACTGAGCCTTAAGGAAATAAAGGAGCCTGTTCGAAAAGATATTAAGCTCCAGGGAAATGTAAGGCATGCCCTGATGTATCTGTTGTCTACAAAAGTCTGGGAGAATCGGTCCTGAGGGAAGTAGTTAGGGCACTGGTTTCTCAAATGGGCACTAGTAGCATTGAGTTAAGGTTGAGCAGCAGTATCAAGACTCAAGATATTCATTTCCCAGGAAGGAGGAAGGGCAGATCTTTCAGCTGCTCTGAAACACTATTGGAAGGAGTTCAGGGAGTATCCATTCTCATCTGTGGTACTGCTTCTTTAAGATGATATTGGAAGGATTTGATGTTATCAGATCCTCAGTGTGTGGGCCACTGGGACTAGGGAAAAGGAGAGGTTGCTTCCTCATTTAAGTATCAGTTCAAGTGCAGAGAATGAGGATGACACTACTTCTTCCAAAGAGCAGCTGAGGGGGTTTCACTTCCTTGGCAAGATCATGAAGCCTGTGGTGGTATCACTTCTGTGGAGGGATACCAGTTCTCTGAAGACTATCAGGTTCTCAGGTTCCATTAGTTCCCTATGGACTATCAAGGATTCACTTCTCCAGGCAATCCCAAGAGAGCATTTGTGGGAATACTGGAGCTTTGGAGGTGGACATATCAAGGAAGTATTGGTTGCCCAGGAGATTGGTTCTTCTGGGTATATCAAGTCAGTTGAGAGGATATCAGGTGTGCTTAAGGGTCCTGGTTCAGGGCAGTATCAGAACGAGTAGCAGGTTCAGAACACATCCCCTTGGGAAAACTGAGATGGTTCAGAGAAACAGGAGTTTCCCTGGGGGAATCAGGTTTCAAGACTATAAAGTGAATATGGGGATACTCCTTCCCCTGGGGTACCACATGAACTGGTGGAGGCATTATTGTATGGATTCAGGAGTGCTGGATCTCCATGGGGTGAGTTGGCAGGTAGTAGTTCTGCAATTAGAGAGAAAACTTTTGGGGTCTCAAATGAGGCTGGGGGAACCTACCTCTCCAAAGCTGTCAGGACAATATCAGGGCATATCAGATGTTTGCAAGATGCAATGGTTTCCCTGCAGACAAAATTAAGAGTACCAAGTTCCCTGGAGGGTGGGCTCAGGGATACCTGGTCCCCTGGGAACAGACTTAAAAATACATTGGGAGAACTTGGGTAGTACCAGGTCTTCTGTGGCTGGAGTCAGGGGACACCAGGCATGTTCAGAAAGTTCAGAGTGCCTAGGAGTGAGTT